GAGGAAACTATGATTTGAGTTCGCTTAATTTACTGTCCGAGTCCAAGCATTTCCACTCGCATTGATCCACTGGACTAGTGAAAATAAAGAAATATAAAGAGTCTGGACTAGCAGAATTAGCAGCAGGATGTGTTTCACCAGTTTTTCAGCGGCAGCATATGTGGTGAGTAAATTAAACTTTTCTTCAACGGTGTGGACTCTGATTTATCAGCAAAAACATGCAACAGGAAACGGTCCTAAAACATAAAGCGGCAGCTAAAATTAGCACTCGTTAAAATGCCTCCTCTGCCTTTAAACAGTTGTGCGGACCCATGTTGCGTTATACATGTATATTAATTCATGAACCACCAGACAGTTAAGACGCCCCACAAACACTGGCAAATGTTGGAGACTTGTTTGTAACCAACTAGTCACAGTGCAGTGAGACACGAGCTGTAATGTATGCTGTGCCTTTAAGCCAAATAAAATATAAAAAATAAATGCAAAGAATAGGGGCAGCACGGTGGCGCAACTGGTAGAACTGCTGCGCGCAGGTCCCCGGTTCAAATCCCGGCTCGGAGGCCTTTCTGGGTGGAGTTTGCATGTTCTCTCCGTGCATGCGTGGATTTTCTCCGGGTACTCCAGTTTCCACCCGCAGACCAAAAACATGCATGTTAGACTGACTGGTAACGTGGTTTGTCTCGTTTGTCTCCATGTGTCCCTGTGATGGACTGGAGACCTGTCCAGGGTGTACCCCGCCCCTCGCACAATGATTGCCGGACATGGGCACCGGCGACCCCCGTGACCCAAAATGGAAGAAGCGGCTGGATAGAATAGTTTTAATGTGGAGCAAAGCAGTCAAGAGTGACAATCAGGTGGAAAAATATTAGAGCTGAAACGGTTCCTCGAATCATTCGAGGTCCTCGAATCATTCGAGGTCCTCGAATCATTCGAGGACCTCGAATGATTCGAGGACCTCGATTAGAAAAAATCCTGGAGGCAAACGTATCTGCCTCGAAGCTTCGTTAAACTATTCAGAGCACTGTGGTCTAGCCGGAAGGTTTTTGTGTCACACAACGCTAGCGCTTCCGCTAACGTGTATGTGCTAAGTTTGTAGCTATGGAGGGAACGGAGATTGCGTAGAAGAAGAGCCCGAAAACAACAAGAACTGTCAAAGTGTGGGAACATGTTCGGCTAAATAGAACAGACGACGCAGCCCATTGCTTCCAGTGCAAACAGAACTGGAGAAACAGCACGTCGTCCATGTTGCAGCGTCTGAAGAGAAAACAGCCGCTGTAGCATCAAACTGTCCGCAGCTGCAACAGGGATCATGTTCTCTTTGTAAAATACGTTAAACTAAATGTGTGACAATCTGTCATGTTCTAGATGTAAACGAGGCTTATTTCTGCTAACGTTAACTCTACTGACTGATCGTAGAGGCTTCCTGGCAGCGTCTGGACGTTGCGTGAGGAACAAACTGTGCAGGACTTGATGCAAGTTTGTTAAAGATCAAAGCAGCAACAGATTGATGCATTTATTTACTGCTGTACTTCCATCCTGACTAAAATCAGATATTTAAGGTGAATATGTCAAGTGTAAGTGTATTTACATGAGTTAGCAGGATTTTTTTCATCTTTCTACCGTTTATGACTGAAAACTGGGATTAATCTGCATTTATTACTACCGTCATATTTGTTTATAGCTCAGCAATGAAGACTAAATAATAATAATAAATAATAATACAGTCTGCAGAACTCAATGTACAAACTCTAACTTTACATTATCTATCTTACTCAGTTTCTAACATAAAGATTTCATTCAGTTTTCCAATCCATAAAAATTATTTACAGCATTTAGATTTTTATGTGATGGTTAAAAATAATTCAACTTAAGCAATGACATATTTTAAAAACAGGAATTAAATGGGTTGTTTATTTAATGTTCTTTTTTTGTGTATTTCTCATAAAATGAGTACGGTAGTTACTGCAGAACCTGACAGATTCTGTTATCGATTAATCGCCAGAATAATCTATAGATTACTCGATTACTACAATATTTATTTACAACAGCCCTAAAAAAATATGATGTCAGACAAACAGCAACATGGGCAGTGCTGGACCTGAAGGGAGCTAGTTAGGAAGAAATAATTTTTGTTTTTTAATCTAAAATTCCCCCCGTCACAGATAAAACACTCACGTCCAATTTCAATTATTTAAAAACGCATGTCTATAAAAAAAGTTGTTTTTTTAAACTGTCAGCCATTCGTCTTTCTTGTTGCATGCCCCTGGTCAGGAGTCTTTGCAGTGAAGAGAGCGATGAGCAGATCATTTGCATAAAAATACATGACTTTACTCAACAGCTGAGATGCGGGAGGCAAACTATTTAATTCAGCGATAGCATTTGCTTGTTGGGAGTAATTTCTGTGCATGGCCAGAGGAAGATTAGAATTGGTTTTCTGGTCGTGTTAGCGCGAGCAGGGCGGGTTGTCCGACATCACAGAAAAAAGGCACGGTGGTTTGTTCCCCTTGCATTGCTTCAGTGGTGATTAAGAGCCTGACGTTAAAAGATCCCTCAAGTTTTCCGCCCTTCACTACTCCCATCTCTCCGGCTCACTCCTTCTCCCCTCGTCTCCCTGGAGAGAGGGGATTACTGGCACACTGGTACGCACAAATGGCACTTGCTCAAAATTAAAAGACTTTCACAGGCTGCTAATCTAATGAGGGTGGAAAGGGGATGTGGGGAATGAGCAAAGCAGCATTTCGGCTGCCGAAATGAAAGGATAAGAATGGATTTTCATGTTTACCGCCAACATTGCCCTAAACACAAAAATGAGGCTGAAGAACACAAAAAGAAAAGAAAACTCTCGGAAATCCCCAAAAGGATAAGACTAAAGTTAAAATAAAACCCAAGCAAGTAGCAGAACATGGGTGGTTGTTGACAGACTTGTGACATTTCTGTTGCGTGCACGAGCAGGACCCATGACCAGTTAGCATTTATCAACTTGCACTTTACAGGCAAAGCACCCAAGAAGAGCTACAAGCACATAATAAAAATCATCAGCGTTCAATGTTTGAGTAAAAGATCAGCTGTCAGCCATCTTGTGCTTAAAATGCAAATCATTTACTATCCTGTTAATATAAATGTGACATTACTCAGCAGCAGAAGACAAACGCTCAAAAGAGAATAAAACAAAGATCCAGGAACTGATTTGGAAATATTTTGCATTAAAAGCTTCTTGAACAGAAAAGTAGCGTTTAACTGAACACATGGATTCCCAAACTTTGGTAAAAAAAATGAAAATAAAATTCTCTCGATAGGTTCTGTCAATCTTTCATCTGTGTTGGAGGAACAACAACAGGGTGCACGATGGTCCCTGACCAAAGTTCACAATCACCATGACCAAAAGCTAGCAGATTCTTTTAACGCTTCTCTGCTGAAGTAAACACTTTCAGCTACTGGATCAGAACAGAAGGGGATACCAGGTCTGTTTTGATTTACTACAACGGCAGATACAAAGAAACAAGAAAAAGCAAGGTACCAACAAAGCCTCAACAATTTCACAACTATTCACTAGACGTGAGAATCTTGTGGTACAATTCGATTACGATTCAGAGGACAGCAGCGCAATTACAAATTATTATCTATGCAGTTATCAGGTGTGTTAAAAAGCCCCAGGAGGCAGCTGGTGAGCTTATGGTGTTTATACAGCTTACACAGCGTTCTGCGTTCAGATACAGTTGGGTCAATTAGCTAAATTATATCACCTGAAACCGTAAAAGCTGACACGAGAACATAGCAACATCTTGAACAATTTCCAAATATAGACTCTCCATAACGCCCCCCGCCTGCTTGAAATGTAGCACACTCCATCAGAGGGCCTGAGCGAACCGCTCCAGGTTATTACCAGGGCCCGTTAGGCTTGAACGAGCAGCCCGTCGTAGCCTTCGGCTCCCGTTTCTAGTCCACTTCAGGCACAACGTCCCATAATGAAGGAGGGTCACAGAGCGTCTGCGTTTGGCTCAGACTGAGAAGTCAAAATTCCATCTACACGGCAGGGAATGTGCATAAAGATGGCGTTTTTCCATCTTCCACCACTAATGCTACTGTTACTCAAAAGGAGAAAGCGGGTAGTAGATGCATTTGCCTCATTTCTGCTTGGCTGCTCGTGCATACTGTGCTTCTCACTCAAGTTATGATCGGTCTCTTTTATGCTAACTCCCCCACCGCCACCACTACCCCCGTTCATTTTCTCAAGAGTAGTGACACGTGACCACAAGGATTCTTTGTCTACTCCTTACTGGAACGCGAGGAACTGCTTCATCTGCAACAGAGTGCCAGCCACTTAGATACGTTAACCCTGTCATAAGCACGCAGGCAGATTAACACAGCGTGATGCCCAGAGTCTCAGAGGAGCATGAGATGCCCTGCAGATGTTGGCACAGGCAGAATGGCTGGTTACACCATCAGTCAGCACAGAGGTGAATACCGGGGTGTGATGGAGGTATCAGATTATATTAAAACCAACACATCTACGGCTCTGACTTACAGGGCATCCCTCTGATACTGATAATAGCCACTGAAATCATTTTTCTGAGGTGCAATCAATAATATATCTTGACACGGGGATGCACGTTGAAGTTTTCCTATACACAAGCTGTGGGCTCTATACGTTTTATCTTTACAGCCGTCGTTCTTTTGAAGCAACATCACCGTGGGTGAATCTAAGAAAGGTCCACCGACAGGTAGATACATTTTATATATTCATAAATGAATAAAAATGTGAAAAAATAATGTGCTCTTGCAACAGCAGGATAAACGATATGCTCTTAAAGACCATCTCTTTGTCAAACTGCTCAGTTTCATTGACTTTACAGTAAAACTACAAGCACCTTGGGCATTGCACTAGAGTTGACCTCCTTAAAGTGAAGAGTCAACGTAAAGAGGATAAACCAACGGAGCTAAACAAAGAACGAGACGTTTCTTTTGTTTTTAACTGGCGTGGCAAGCCAAATGCACGTCACCTGCAAGCTCGTGGTGGATGAGGTCAGCGAAGTTCGGCTCGTCCCCCCACCAGAAGAGCCATAGCTCCCTCCAGCCCTGCCGTTGGCTGCGCCGCCACACGCTCAGCACGTCAGCTTTCAGGCAGCGGCTGAAGCTGCACAGGATGGGGTCTTCCTCGGTCACCGGGAAGAGGAAGGGGGCAGAGGTGGGACCCTGCCACACAAACCTCTTCCATTTGATTCCTGTCAGGTCAGCCTGCAATGAAAGAAAGAGAGGGGGGTGAGATTGAGTGAGGAGGCACTAGTTCAGGGTCTACTCAGCACTTCGCTGAAAATATGTGCTCAGAAGTGTTAAGGGCAATTATTAATCCTCTTCGGTGGGACAGTTCACCCCATTTCTATCCAAGCCATCAAGCAGAAACAAAGACTGAAACGTGACGCATTCAAATATTTAATGGCTCCAAAAATTGGGACGTTTGTTTGTTTGTTTATGCAAAAGGACTGTGTGCGAGTTTTTTAGGTGCTATTAATGTTACAACAAGCAACATGTTCAAAACACACATTAGAAAAAAACCAAACGCTGGTTAATATGGTCTCACTGCCTTAATCCTCATTATTGGTGAGTGCTGGAGGGGGATGGTTTGTCTTTCTCTAAACGCTGTCTGGCTTTTATACAGAGAACAAAACCCACAGGAAAAAGCCTCATAGGCAGTAAATCACTAGCAGGGTTATTAAGTGTTAAAACAGGAGCATTACGCTCCACTGCTGGCTTGTGCTGCTGCTCATCAACCAGACTGCCCATGTCTACCTAAACAAATGCACATACACATGCCAACAACATTACAACACACATTTATTTACACCAGCATCCCTGCTCCTCGATTTATCCTTGTAGGCATTTCAAGTAATCTGTAGGAACATGGACTGTTCATTATGCAGCCGTTTGCTCCCGTTTGGCTCCGGCAGAGTTAGCGAGCCATCCCTGTGTAAATTCAACCAATTAATCAATTACAATTCAGGGGATATCTTAACTCAAGTGCAAAGGCATCGAGCGTAAAAAGTGATTACTCGTAGTTGTGGCAAAGCAGTAGTCTTTTCACTGACTAGGACTAAGCTGAGAGATTTGTGGTGTTAGAAGAAATGGTGGTGGAGGCGTTGGGGACTGTCAAATTAGTACGGTGCTGTCGGCTGGAGCAAATGTGGACCACAACAACAGGTTGGAAAGCCACAGGATGGAACAATAACATTGTTCCTGCTCCATTTTTATGATCCCATCATATGCCCATAATGTACCAAGCACAAAACATCCAACCTGGGAAAATTACTCCCAATATTTTATACTAATGATTACTAAATTTATTAAAGAGATCATCTGAAATTTTTTTTAAATTCCAGTCAGACCATTTTGGAAAGCCTCATGTAGCTAAATAAACTTGTCTTATTAGTTTAAAAACATAAATCAGACCACAGTCTTGGCTAAATCTCGTCTAAACTTTATACCAATGAAACAAAAATCAAATGTTTATTTAGATTTTGTTCCATATTTTAAATCAGCAGTGACAGGACATGGGAGTTCACAGAGACTAAAATATACTTGTCAGTAGCAAACAAAGGGAAGCTGCTACTTTGACATTTGTGTTCTGAGAGTATCTGTAAAAAAAGATTTATAGAGAAATCTGCTTGAGTATATTGATGAAATTATTTTAAGGAAGCTTCAAGGTTTACTGAGCAAAACTATCAAAAACCTGCAGCAGTAACAATTAAAAAAAAAGAGTGTTATTGGCAAGATGGTATTGAGCAGTAGATGAAGATAGCAAGAATCAGAGTGTTTCCACTGTATATCTGCAACCACTTCTATAAAGCACCGTCTGTGAAAAAAGGCCAGCATCCCATAACTGTCACGGGTAAATACAAATCCTCTACGCATCATCATAAAACCACAAAGCGTGCGTTTAATTTGCTACCCACAACAGCTGAAGGTAAAAGAAAAGCTGCAAGTAACGACAGGAACACTTGGGCTCCATTAGTCTTGTTTCATGAAAAATCACAGTTTTTGTCCGTGAGCGTGATCCAAACAAGATCTCTGATGAACTAGGTGGGTTCCTGAGGATTTCTAAAGCCGCTCCACATGCACAGAACCAGCTCAGAGTCGAGTCTGCGTGCAGCGGCAGGCTGCTCCTTCCTGCTGCAGCGCGAGAAGCACGACTTTACACCTGCATCTTGCTCGGAAACATCTGTGCGCACAATGGAAAAGGAGGGTGGAACCAACGGTTCACTGTGAAATCAGATCGCAAGTACTGCAAGGTGGACACCCCCCCATCAGCTTGGTGACCATGTCCAAATGTTTTATCTTACACAGGATGTTGTTTCTTCACTGGCTCGCAGATTTGATCAGTTTCCTGCACTTCTCGGTGCATGTACGTGCTGCACGGTGAAAGACAGGCTGCTTTCAAAGTACTGACACAAAAAGTTAAAAAAATAAATAAAATAAAACCCCAAGACTCTTATTCAAATAAGTGTTTCGGTTACTCTTTTCACTTCGAAGTCGGCTTCACGCTCATGCCCGAAATTGTTTTGCATAAGTGACTCTTCTTCCAGCCAAACCCAGTTTTCTTGCAGTTTAGGATAAATCTCAACCATCGTTACGATGACTCGAGCGTAACCGAGGAGCGGAAGTTGAAAGATGCATATTAACGTTGCTTTTACCATTCACATCTTAATGGCAGAGAACAAAAGCAGAAAGTAATTACTTGACATTAAAAGATAAAGCCCTTCTTGTATTTATACGCACGCAGGATTAAAAGGCTCCTATACAGAAATCCTTCAAATTATGTGTACTTTCTATAAAAACAACGTTTAGAAGAACATAAAAGCGTAATTTTGAGCAATTTGAGTACTGCACCTAAGCAGTCGTAGTCTGAAGTAAATAAAAAGTTTATGGATTAGTTAAGAAAGTACTAACTTCCCAGATGGTTTTAGTTCAAAATGAGAAGGGCTATATATTGCATCTAAACAGTAAAGGGGATTTTGGGAGTTGTAGTCGATTCTAAACTTTCTTACAAAGCTCAGGTGAAAAAAAAAGAAGATCTGCAGCAGGATCAGAGTTGATGTGTCGAAATGTAAGTTGTGTAGAAATGGTTCGTTAACAGAGGCATATAAAAAGCACATGCACTCTGGTCAGACGAGCTCATCTTTTAATGCTTCCCAGTGTAGACGTGGGCTCAGATAACTCCTTTAAAAAAATCAATACAAACATCCTAATAAATACTTCATTTTCTAAAGATGAACTTGTTCCATTCTGATCACTTCACTTTTAAAAACGTGTTCACTTGGGATGCTTGAACACAACCTTCTATCCATCAGACAAGGAGGACAACGTGTCCCAGCATGAAGTCCTTCACCTTAGAGCTGGTCGCCTCGTGTTCCTATAGATGTTTACGCACTGCTCAAAGAAGATGGACCTGGAACAACTGTTGAGATGTGTTGCAACCATGAACGTCTAAATTACCTTTAATGTCTAAAAAATGATGCAGTTTCTCAGTTTCAGGATTTAATGCGCTTAAAATGTTCCACTGTGATTAAAAGATGGGTTTAGATTAGCAAATCATTGCATTCTGTTTTATTCATCGTTCACAGGTTGTTGTTTTTTTTTTTGACCTGGTGTGGGTAAATAAATGTGTAGATTTTTAGTTTACATATAAGATCCTCCACTAGGAGAGTTTTATCAGCCAGAGAACAAAACATATCAGCTTTCAAAGGCGGGAGCAACAAAAGGAGTGTGTTAAACAGAAAAAAGTTATTTGATCCACTCTGATTTTTCTGCTAAAGTATCACTGGGGTTTAGCACAATGTCAACAGCTGGCAAAGAGCTAAACATTTACAGCCGTTTATTTAAAAGTAGCACTTTTTTATTTAAATTTTGTGTTCGAATTATTTCACTGTTTGCAGCCACCTGTGGATGTGTTGCTCTGCTGCCAGTGGTCCATTTTTGACCCATCTACTCCTGTCCGTAACCATATTTAACATGAAAAGCTTATTTTATGAACTTTCTCATAAAGCATGCGTTTCTGAGTGAAACTAATTAAGACAAAGCTGAACCGTCTGATGGACTAGGCGTCTTCTAAAATGGCACACGCGCAGCAGTGACTCTGCACAACGGAGCGACTGACCAAATCCTGTGGGCACAGAAAGTTCGACCAGGTTCATTGCTGATATTAAGCCACAGTTGCAGCAGTCACAGCTAAAATACTGAGATTGATGTTGCTGCTACAGCTGCTGCTGTGCTGTTAACTTAAGGGAGCAGCAGGCTGCCCTCCTCATCTTACATTACAGCTTCAGTCGTGACCTTTTCCGTCCTCGTTTCTGATGCCATCAGGACATCTGCATCATTACTGGACTTTTCTGCAGAGAAGGCACTTGAGCGCTTTACAAATCGTTCATTCTCTTTAAACCGTGCCAGAGCGGAGCTGAATGATTTGCGTTACGTTCTGAAAGGAAAGAAAAATCTAATAACTAAATAATATTGTTTAATACTCTTAGGGGGGTGCAGTAGCTCAGTATTCAGTTGTCTTGTAACGCTGAGGTTGCGGGTTCGAAGCCAGGTTGCGTCAAAAACGTAAATGGCAACCCCTGAAGAAGGGAGTAGCCAAAGGAAACGTTGAATTACTCTGCTATAACCGACTTGATCTTCAGGAGAAACGGTGTTTGCCATCAGCTCTTAGTTTAGATTGCTAGCAGAGCAGCAGATTATCAAGACTACAACCAAGAAAAATAATTATTGAAAAAAATGTTTTCCAAAGTGACAACTAATGCAAACTGCAGAATCTGCATCGTGAACTTGTCAAATGTCACTGACTTTACCGTCCTGAGCTCTTCTTCACACAACGTCTGCAAATTTTACTTTAAGTCCTGACACTTCAGTGAATCAAGTCTTGCCTTGCAAAAAGCAATGCGTATCTCTGACGGCACCGTTTTAAACAGAGATCATCTTACAAGGAGAAACTACAGAATTACAGTTGTTAATATTATATGCGATGTCATGCTCGTGATCTCGTATGATCCGTTAGCGCTGGAGTATTTGTTGTGAACGACTCTCAACTACTACCACAAGATTTATCTCACTGAGCCTCGGAGACTCATTTACAAGAGAGACCTGGTCTAATCGGCTCTTCTCAGGTGGAGGTGAATTAACACCGTGACTCGTTTCCCCGCTCTGTGGGCGGGATCGTCAGTGTAAAGTGGGCGGGATCGTAACAGGTCATGTTTGAGCCACTCCACCCATTGTGGTTCTTAATCGCACCATTATCGGACTTCAATTGGAAATGTGCTCACTCCGTGTGGCGCCGTCTCGCGCTGAATCCTAACTTTGGCCAATAAAGTTAGGAAGGTCTGTACCTCGTCACTGGTCCATAGCATGATTTTTGGAGCTTCCATACCAGACACTGGCAAAACAACACACACTCAACACGATCAGAGACGAAATGGAGATAGAGGTAGCTTCCAGTTTTAAAGGGCAGGTCATCCAGTGGCGTAGCTCTACTGGCCAATCAACGGCTGCCGTCTGCTTACAACTAAATCATCACCTCGGAGCAGTTTGCTTGGAACCACGAATAAAGATGGACCCATAAACCGGGCAGAGTGCGTTGGGTGCCGACAGAGGGCAGACCCTTAACTGGTGCGGTGTGTGGTGGAACCGATGACAGCTGAGACTGTGGCAAAGTGCCAAAGGTGGACGGAAACTGAATGGGAAAATGGAGTGATTTGATCCAGTAGCTCTACATTGTTAAGTCAAGCATCCGTATCTGATGGAATTAGAGAAGTTTGTCCAAAGTCACTTTTATTATGAAACCGTTGCCTTTCTGAAAGAACTCGAGTAAAATCATTTCAATATGAAGTTAGTCAAGTTGTTGCTTTGTTTTACTGATGATCTGTGAGCAGCACCAGACGCGACTGCAATTAAATGTGCACAGAGATGATTTTGTAAAAGTTTATGTTGCACTGATTAATCGTAAATGGACTGTACTTATATACACTTTCTATCTTATCAAGATACTCAGAGCTCTTTACACTACAATCTGTGCCCTCGTGTACCCATTCATACAGCTCTATACTAGATCTATACAAAGACTAGTCAGAGCTTTATCACATTCATACATTAATGGGACACACATCGGAGGCAATGATCAGTGTCTTGCCCAGGGACACTTCGGCATGTGACTGCTGGTGGAATTAAACCCCCAACTCTTGCAATGGAGGACGACTGCTCTAAGCACTCAGCCACAGCCGATGTGAAGCTTCTCAAACAGAACGGCAAGGAAAAGATCAAAACCAAGAATTATTGAACTTACAGGTGTCCTGCAGCCAGACTGTGCACCTAAACACTTTTCTTTTTAATACACGCAAACACACAAAACTCTTTTTTGAAATTGAACGCTGTTTAAATGATTTAAGTATGTTCAGTAAATTCTATTTGTAATAAATTATATTGTTGCTAAAATCAAATAATCTCAGTTCTGGGTACTTATTCCTACATGTACATGTTTTTATCTGCACGTTTTAGTTTTTGTAACTGCTTTTTACGGCTCGTCTATTCATCTAAAACATGACGCATCTAAATCAGTATGTCCTTACATCCCCCTAGGTTTAAAGAGAAAGAATAAAATATAGATTTATTAATAATATACAAGCGCTGAATGTCACCATTCTGCTTCCAAATCAGCAATATCAGAGAAGCGGAGTGCTCTGTCGAGAATGGTGCCTTGTGCTATTGTGCCGTTTGTCCTTTTTAAACAAATTACTCACAGACTGTGTATAAAAAAGCTGAATGCCAAGGAATCCTGAGTATTTCCCCCAGACGACTATGTTTCACAGGCTGGGCGCATGCTTCCAACATCTTATGCACTGTGAACCCACTCTGTTTTCCTTCCTGACTGTGTCTGAGTAAATGCTCAGGTATGCGAGCAACTACTCAGAAAATGTCCCAGCAGGGTGAGCAATGCTGGTCATGAGCCGTTTTAGATTTCTTTACGCCAAAGCCAAAACTCACACCGGTGCATGAGCGGAGAGTCTCAGGCCGAAGTCACTGGATACAGACAGGCAAGACGTTTTCCTGAGGTGACGCACGCTTCAGCCAGGGGTTGTGACCTCTGGTTCTGCCAGCTGCTCACCTTCCCTCTGGCAACCTCGAGCTCTGGGTCTGAATAGGGTACAGTGTGTACAAACAGCTGCCTTCCTGCTTTTTAAGATATGAAACAACAGGTGAAGCTGCTCAAATCGTGCCACAGATGCTCCATTTTACCAAGTCTGCGTTTCCGTCTCTGCCTGTCACGACTCACCGACCGTTAGCTCCATCATGAAGTCAACATGAAACCAACAACTGTGCATTTGCATGTTCTTCTTAACAGAAACGCAAATTTAGGCAGTTTCATTTGAGCTACATGTACTTTTTGGTTATTCACTGAATTTGGATGCTTTCATAAAAACAGCAGAAAAACGTACAACTACTAACAAAGCAGCTACAAGTGTGTATGCCAACCTAGATATAAATAAACTGAGCTCCAGGTTCATCTCCACTAAAATAAGAGCGTACAATATTATGCTCCAAAGGACTTTCCACAGAAGAGCGGAGGGGGGTAAACTACCACAGTGTGCTCACATTCTTTTGCCATAAAACCACAAAGTGGACTCTGTTCAGCAAGTGAGTCATAACAGCAGCGGTGTTATGCTTAGTCTCAGTGTGCAGGAAAATGTCAGCCAGACGGGCACAGCACCACAACTACCAGCCGTCATCGAGTCCGTCCACTGCGCTGCCTTCAAGCACCGTCGCAAACATTGTAATTACGAGTTCAGCGCACACGATTGACCCAAAGGAGCAGTCCTGAAGAGAGCGGGCATCCTCCGCAATGAAATGTTACCTTGAAGAGGGCGGACGGCGTGGAAGCTGTGTCAGTCTGCACTGTGAGCAGTCCAGTATTCCCACTATATTGTTATCATCAGCGCATTTAATGTCAGCGTTACTACACGTCTTCGTTCGTATTTGCAAAACGCATCTAAGGTCAAGGCATTTTCATCGCAGCTCATGAAATCTTTCAACGTGTAAGAGGCGGCTGCGTTTAGGGCTCTTCACATCCCATTAAGGCCTTCCTACTGGGAAGCACGACGTTGAAGGGGAGCGCATCAGCCTGTCAGTCCGCCATACAAGTGTAGTTAAGCCTGTTGACAAGCCAATTAACTGCAACAACAAACACTCGGACTGTGCTCTTGATTATCTGGTGAGAAGAGGGACAGAACACTTGAGCAGGCAATCTACGTTTGCTGTCCAGGCTAAAATGTGCTATTACTCTTAATGAACCCTCACGTGGGATTTAAAGAATACCAACTGGGTCCAACCACAGCTATTCAGGGTGATGTCAACCTTCCACATCATGTTATAGTACATTACAAATTCCCTCCCAGTTTATACCAGTGGCTATTTGGACTGACAGGGGATGCCACAGATTATATAATGAAGCCCAGTGGGTGCAAATAGAATATAAACACCTGCAAATAAACAGTGTAAAAACAATTAGGTTAACGTGACAGCAACCCTGCGGAGGCACGTGTGGACGAGCCGAGCAGCGCTTGATAATAACGAACAGGTTTGTGTTTAACTTCTTGGCGTGCATCAAGTGGACCCAAGTCCCGCAACAACTAAACCTTCAGTTCACAACAAACACGGCGAACCAGAGAAGGTGCTGCGGAACTGTTCCGGGTCTTAAACATGTTGAAGTTTGAAAAGCGGGGAGCGCTTTTGTTTGTGAACAGGTGGAAAAGGGAAAGTTCAAAGCAGCGCACAACGGCTGAAATAAACATTTAGCCGAGCTTGTCCTAAAACTGGTGTCAGCGCGACAGGCCGCAAGCCTGGCTAACGGCGGCTAACGTTAGCTTAGCCCGCTCGGCTAGTTAAAAATGGCTGCTTTCCTTAGTTTTAAATCTCTTACCAGACAGAATAGATTGGAATGGCAATCCTCCAAGCTGGCCCCGTTCGGTACAAAACAAGAAGTCATCCTTCCTCACAGCGAGATCCAGCTCTCCATCTTTTCACGTCCGGGGAAATATATATATATATTTTTTTAATTGGCGTGTTTGTTTTTGCCGATCGGTGTTTACGGTGATGTCCAAGCCTGATCAGCGAGAAGTATTTTTTTTTGGAGGAGAGTTAATTCAACAACCTTCCGACTGCAGTTTCCCTCCGCCGGAGCTGAACGCGGACACCACGGGGACCGTGTCTACACGGGCATCTCGAAAAGTGCGCAGCGTCTTCTTAAAACAAGTGCAACAATGTTCGTAAAACAAAAAGGAGAGCAAAAGAAGCAGCTCCCCCCCCCCCCCACACACTCCTCCCCCCTGGAGCCCGACACCGTGTCCGCTTTAAAGAGAAAATACTCCGAGCGCTTCGTCTCTCTCCTCCGTGGTCAAACTGAGCTTAAAAACGAAGTCCATCGTGGAGAA